CAATAAGTACGGCTCACTCGGTGTCGGCACTCTCGAGGACTCGTCGACACCACAACTGGTCCACGGCTTGGATGGCCAGCGAGTGGTGGCCGTCGCGTGCGGTAACAGTCATACCCTGGTGTTGACCGTACGGGTCGTGTCTACGGGTTTGGTCGCAACCTATTGGGCCAATTGGGTGACGACACACAGGTGTCCCGTCGTTACGCGGTTCCCGTCACCGAAATCGCCGACCAGTCAGTAGTTACCCTATCGTGCGGCCGTAACCACACGGCGGCGCTCACAGACACGGGTCGGGTCTACGTGTGGGGCTCTTCACATATATCCAGACCCCGACTGACTCCCGAACCTCTGGCCACTCATTCGGTGTACGATATATTCGCCAAATACTCGAAGATTGACATGACTTTCAAGACAATTATTTTTAATAATAAGATCAATGATATCGAGAATATTGACGAACGAAATGCGGATCAAAAACAGTTGTACTTCGAGGACAAACTCATCGATGGTATCAAAGATATGAATATAGGATTAGACACTTCGGCCCCGAATAATAGTAATTGCAATACCAGTAGTGGAACCGTTGGATTGGATCATAAGTCTAAGAACAGTGAAAAGTTGATTCCATTGAAAGTCTTTGGGAAACATTTGTCGGACATCTTTGACAATAAATCTAATTATGATTTGGTGTTTGTATTCAACGAGAAAACCATTAATTGTCACAAATTTGTGATTAAACTGCGAAACAAACAGTTTTGGCAAAAATGTCAGTTAATGTTGAATAGTATTTATAACAATTCAAACGATAATGAGATTCGCATTCAAGACTATTCTTATGAGTCTTTCTATGCATTCCTCGAGTTCTTGTATGCAATCAAACCGAAGATCACTCCCAGAATCAGACGCGAAGTGTCAAAGTTGGCCACACTTTATGGCGAACCAGCGCTCGAAGAGTTGTGCAATTATAATGTCTACGGATCTGATGTTAAATGTATTGATTTGTCAAACGTTTGCAGTCTGTATGAGATGTCTATCACCGATGGATGCGTTGAGTTGGAGAAGAGATGCGTTGAATTCGTGACAAACAATTTGATCCCATGTTTTAAATCGGATTCATTTCACGCATTGCCTCAACACGTGTCCAAACGACTCATGCAATCAGTGTTTGAGTGAAAAGTTTTTTGTCAAACCATTTAATTGTCTTTATGTATATTTAATTATGAAATCTCTTATAAATCCTTATATTTTTGGTTTTAATTAATAAATATAATGATTTATATAATTTTGTATTAAATACTTAATTAATTGCGATTAAAAGTTCTAAAACTCATATTAAGCGCACGTTATATAATGTGGGCATAGTATGAATCATTCACACAATATAATCCCCTTTGCAATAGTATTGTAATGGGAATACCCCTCACAACACATTCAAACAGGGATTTAAACAAATAAATAGTAACTCTATTTGTGAAAGCAAACCACAATCGTCACAATTTTCAATAATAACACAAATAACGTGTCAATATATGAGCCCCCGATTCAGTAAACACTATGTGTTTAACGTTAATAAAACTCATATATATTTAGCCCGCTTTTGGACGTTATGTATGAATAATTGTTTAAAAAGTGATTTGTTTACAAAACCAGTTTCGCAATACTTTTGTTAGTTTTAACTACAATTAAATGACATATAAATGGTATTACAGTTTGTGTTGACATTAAAATTAATACTAAATTAACGTAAGTTTTATATTCAATACTAAATTATAGTTTCAAACAGTTTTGTGAGCAAAACATGTGTTGATTGACGTCTGATAACAGTTTGCAAAACACTTGTGTTTTTTAAATGTAATTATTATTTAAAAAACAAACAAAAATTAATTATTGTTTTCAATTAATTAGTGAACGACTGGTGATAGTTGTGGACAACGAAGACATGGATTCGTTAGACAAGTGGTACGACTCGGCGATAATCAACGGCAAAGAGTGGTATATCTGTGTCTTCGGCGGCAATGAATGCAATGAAGTCGAGGACAGCGAAGATCTGATGAGAGATCACTTGCGGACACAACACGGGTTGCAAACGAGTGTCAATTTGGTGGACAACCCGCTGCTGACGCCCTCACCGTCTCTCCAATCGGGCGATGATATCAACCCTAAGTGTGTGACCAGTGATGAAGAGGCGGCCGACAACAGTGACCACAGTATGGGCGCCGAGTCTGACTGCGGCCAATCGTATGCCAGCGATCGGTTGCCGAGCGGCCACTCTATGACCAACCGATCACCGGATGGGCCGTCGAGTGCCAGACCTAAACATATGAGTGATAAACGCGAGCAGAGACGGCACGAATGCCCCGTCAAGTGGTGTAACGTTTCGCGCGCCTCCCGCGCGGGACTCAAAGTTCATTTGGGTCACCACAGGTGCGGCTTCGGCTTCGACAACACCCCCGGCGCCGATCCGGTCACAGGTGTCTGCCGTCGGGCGAACATCAACTCATTTGTGAAGACTATTTGCTCAAACGATGGCCAGAAGCGCTTTGAGTGTTTATCTGATGGCTGCGACTATCACTCGACATCGATAGCGCATATGAAGGATCACATCCACGGCCGACACGTGTGTCCCAATCGGTCTAATCTTATTGGCCGAAGCAGTGGCCGCACGTCACGGGTGTCGGCAACTGATGAGACACGCGATGACAGTCGGCATCAATCGTCTCCTTCCGTGCAGTGCTTTCAATCGGACGAAGATTTAGACCCGAAGTGCGAGACCAGCGATGAGGAGGAGAGCGGCGGACATAATATGGACGTGCAGTCAGACTCGTCGGGTGACGAGCGGTGCGACAGCGATGGGGCGACGGGTGGCCAGACCTCAGCCGTTAAGAAAGGGAAGCGTTCAACAGATGGACAACCGGTGATCCGTAAGCGGTATAAGTGTTTAGAAGAGGGTTGCGATCACAGGTCGCCTTCAAAAGCTGAGTTGAAGCTTCACGTGCGAGAAGAGCACCCGGACTACGAGAGCGATCGCCAACAACGGGAGTTCCCCTGCGATCGACCCAATTGTCGCGTTTCGTACTCAACAAATGCACGACTTGTGCGACATTTGGCGAACCATCGGTGCGGCTATCAAATGGACGATACGCCCGATCAGGTCAGCCATCCATCCGAAGTATGTCGTCGGGCGTACATTGACTCTCAGTATAAGACAAAGCGCACCGCCAAAGACGTGAAGATGTATGAGTGCGGGTTTGATGACTGCCCGTACAGCACGTCAGGCATATCGTCGATCAGGGATCACATCCATGGCATACACGTGTGTCCCAATCGGGCCAGTCTTCGCGCGCCCAAACCTCGAGGCCGTAAACCTGGTGGTGGTTCGACACTTCGCGTGTCAAACACCCGACAAATGGACGCTTCCAGTGATGAAGAAAGTGATGATAATTCCGAGGCGAGTGAATACAACTTGATTTTGAGTTCTGCTCAACGAATGTCTCAACGCATTCGCAAACAGAGTGTCAGTCAAGAAAGCAATGCCATTGAGACCACTGAAGAGGCAAACGTTAGCGTCGGGCGGACACAACCCGCGTGTCAAACGACCGGCCAATCAGCGGTGGGTAGCGATCACAGCGATAGTGATTTGGACGCGGGTTTGCCTAATGTCTCTCCCGATTATATGGACACGCGGTCAAAGTCTTCGGGTAGCGATCGGCCCGAAAACCAATCGATCGCTCACAGCAGCGGCGGTCAGTCTCTGATGCCTAACAAACGGAATCGTTCAGCAAATGCTCAGCCGATGAGTGACAGCAAACGGGTGTACGCGTGTCAGCACAAGGGCTGCCGTTTCAAAACCCACAGCAATAAAATTTTGACCCGTCACGTGACTGATCAGCACTCGGCCACTGCCCGGGAGCGACCGTTCCACTGCCATCTCAAAGGGTGCTACTCTTCGTACTCTCACCACGACCGATTGAATAAACATTTGGCGAACCATCGGTGCGGCTATAATATGGACGAAATGCTCGATCAGGTTAGAGATCCGTCCGACGCCTGCCGTCGAGCGAACATCGATTTCCACTGCGAGAGGTCTGCCGTCACCACCGATGGCCAGAAGAGCTTTAAATGTCCGTTCGATGGCTGCGACTATAACACAACAATCGTTGTGGTGTTCAGGGATCACATCCACGGCCAACACGTCTGTCCCAATCGATCTAACCTTCGGAGCGAACCTAAGACGGGCCGGCCTTCCAAATGTCAGAGGGTTGAGAAGCGCACGACACGCGAGCGTACAGTGTCTTCGGCTCGACGAGCGGACACTTCCAGCGATGACGACAGCGATGGCGAGTCTGACGCCAGCGAAGAGGCCGTAGAGTCGAGTCCGCGCAAGAGATCGTCTCAACGGATCGCCAATACGAGTGTCCGCCAAAAAAGAAGTGCCGTTCAGACGAGCCGAGAGACCGCTGTTAACGACGCGCAAACACGACCCGTTGCCTCGACTTCCAGACAATCAGTGGTGGCAAAGCTTAAGGCGAAACGGAATCGCAATCCGTGGTCTAGTGATAGGAGTAGTAGTGGTCGGGATTCAGATAGAGATATCTGGTCTACGGGTAGCGAAGCGGCCGCAGAGTCTGACGCGTCGGACAGCAATTGGTCCGAAAACGGGTCGACGACCTCACGCGGCGGCCACAAGTCTGCTAAGTCTAAGAAACACAAGCGCTCGGAAGCGGATCAACCGGCGATCGTAACGAACTCGAGCGCGTTGTATGAATGCGGCCGCGAGTACTGCGACTTCACTGCCGCCGACAAAGAGGTTTTGGCCCGACATATGACTGACAATCACAGCTCAGACATTGACAGCGATGATGGCCCGCCAATAACAGGGACTTACAGGGGAGCCGACTCTTCCGATGACCAAAACGATGATAATCGTGAGGCGAATGACGCGTCCGATGAGTGCGATAGCGATGGCTGGTCTGACTTCGGCGACGACAACGGTGAAGATGGCGGCCAAGACGTTGACATGGATTCGGACTAAGAAGTAGTCTTAAGCTATTGGCAATCGCACGATACGAATGGCCGGCAAATAATGGTAGAAATGCTGACACTGTCTACACAACACATGTCATCAATTTTAAGGCCAAAGATCTTGAGTTGGCTATCGGTGTGTGCTTTTTATGACCATTTTATGCGACCATTACTTGAATGCACGCCTTATAGATCTCATTGACACATATCTTAATACAAATAATTGTATTTTAATTTTATTATAAGTTTTATAATCATTAACCAAATACTTAATTATTCCAATTGTTTGCAAACATTTAAACATATTTTCTAAACATTTTGTAATTTGAAAATTCATTTTAATTTGTTTCATATTTTATGACAATTATTTTGTGTATAATTTATTATTTTTGCATTTAATTATATAACTGTTTATTTAAATCTTTTTAGTACTAATAATTAATTGTAAGTTTTACTGCCAATCATAGTGTATATAATTGTTATATAAAATCACGCATTTCTTGTTTATATAACAAAGTTTACGACAGTATTATCAATAAAATATGTAATTTACTGAATAAACACTTAAAATAATAGTTTAATTAATACTTAACTAATTGTGATTAAAAGTATCTAAAATACTAGTTTCAAAACTCGCCTTAAAAGCATGAATACGTTATATATGAATCAGTTTACTATTTAACCCCCCTTAACAATAGCGATGTTATGAGAATACCCCTCACATTTTATCAAAACCGGGGTTTGAATCAACAAATAGTAACACTGTTTGTGACGAGTCATTGGTAATTAAACTTTTTTAAAAGCAATACATGCATAAATAACGTGTGCATACATTACAACCCCATTCAATATCACTTCTATTTTACGTTAATAACGCTATGTATGGCTCACTAATATTATTTTTCCCCCATTTGTTGTAATTTATGAATAAATATAACTTTTGAACAGTTTTTTTGTGTCAAAAGTTTATGACTAAAGTTTGATAACAGATATCGTATGCAAAACACTGGCCTTTAATGTAATGTAAATATAATTAAAAGTAATTAAAATTAATT